TTATAAAGTTTTTTGCTACTTTAAGTAAAGTTTATTCAATAATCCAGTAAAAAGAAAAGCAAAGAGATATTTCCTTAATTTCTATAACAAAAAAATCCTAATTTTTAGTGCTAGAAATACGAATAAAACTATAAAAAGAAATTAGTTCTTACAAAGAAAAATATCATTATACCTACTGCAAAATCACTAGGCAATCACTAGAGAGATATTATAAAGTTAATCCAAATAAGTAAATTTGTTGTAAGATTACAAGATATATTATGGATAGATTACAAGTTACATAGATACTGTACGAGGCGCAAAAATCATGGAAAAGAAAAATCCTCCAGTCTCAATCAAGTTTCCTCAATAGCCTCAAGTGAATCAGAAAATGGCAAAAATTGATTACAATTACTCAAGAAGAATACACACAACTTGTGGTCATACTGTAGTCGAGGACAAGGCAGCCCTCCTTATTACAAGCACTAGAAATAAATCCAACAGAATGTTTTAATATGTACATTTGTCTTTTTGCTCATTCCACAGTAAACAACAAAGAATTATCTTGGATTTTAAACATTAGACATCAAATTGTGTTGTGTGTTCATTTTTTTTTTTTTTATTTACTGAAGCTATAAATAGAATTAACTCATATATTGTTTTGTCCAACGAAAATAGAATGAAAGTCTTACGCACTGATATACTAAAGATCGGTGATGCATTAATACTATACATCGCATTATATGTGATTCAATTTTAACTTGATTTCAACAAGAAAATTAGCTGAATATATGAATTGTCACATCATAATCTTACATCATGCAAGATCTTTCAACCTCCAAGACAATTGAAGTTGGTATAATCAAGAATGGTGGCATAAGTTAGAGTTTGATAACAATGCAATGATGAATTGTAAAAGTTTGTCGGCTGCATTCCACTTTGAATTCAAAAAATAATTTAATGTTTGGCACTATAAAATAGGACGTAGTTCATTATTTGTTGCAAAATTTATTCCAAACAATACAAAGAATAAAGAATGTGGACCTTGTTGTGTATGTCCCTTGGTCATGTTTCCTAATAGTCAATATTAAATTTATGCTTTAAAGATAATACATTGTGACATTTGGTGTCCATGCAACAAGATTTCTTACGATGAATATCAGTATTTTATTTCCATTTTAAATGATTATTGTCATTGTGTATGGATATATCTGCATGAGTCTAAATCATGGGCAAGTCACACCTTGGAAAGTTTTTGTGCTCTTGTGGAAACCTAATTTAATTCTAAAATCAAGATTGTACGAAGTGATAGCAGAAGAGAGCTCGAGATGAAAGAATTCTATCATAAGAAATGGATCATACATCAACGAATTTGTAGAACAAAATGACAGAATGGAAAAGAAGCACCGACAGATTCTTAATGTTACGAGGGCACTCATTTTTTAAAGTGGAATAGAAATAAAATATTAGAGTGATTTTGTATTGACAGTACCGTACCTGATCAACGGAACTTCTTGTTTAACTATAGATTACTAAACAATATTTGAAAGCCTATTTCGAAAGAAACCATATTATAAATAATTTAAAGTTTTTGACTGTTTGTTCTTCACCTCAACTGTTGCAGGGCTTGGGGAAGAGAAGAAGATGAAAGGAGACGAGCTAAAAACAAAGGAGAGAGATCGACAGCGGTTCCAGAAACCAGAGATTAAAAAAATACCTGATGAATTTTTTG